GTCAGGAATTAAGAGGTAGGATGAGGCGGAACTTTTAAGAAGTGATTAGTCATAAGAACTCTGCCCTGGGGAATGACTTAATCCATCCATGGATTAATGGATTAATGAGTTGTCTTGAGAGTAGATCTTCATCAAAGCCAGTTTGGTTCTGTCTCTTGCAAACCCCTCTCGCCACGTGAGGCCCTTTGCCACCTTGGGATTCTGCAGAGTCCCCACCGGCAAGAAGGCCTTTAGCAGATGTAGTCCCTCAACCTGGGATTTCCCAGTCTCCAGAACCATGAGCTACATAAACCTTCATTCTTTATAAAATTCCAGGCCTCAGGCATTCAGTTAGAGCAACAGAACACGGATTAAGTAAACTAGCAGTGCTTGGAAGAGAAAACTAATGTTTGTTGGCTATAGACTGTACTTAGAATACTCCACCAGGACCTTCCATATTTGAAGAAAGAATGTCTCAGGAGAGCTAAGTGATTTGTTTTAAATCACACAATCAGGGACTTCAACTCAGGTCTAGTTCTTGACTACCTCCCCTCCAGGTACAGCTCTATAAGGCCAGGCCTGCTTTTATCTTCTCCATCTGTGTGGCCAGCACAGAGCTCCCCATCTGGTCCAAAATTGGTGCTCAGAAAATGTTGCCTAAGCCAGGGGTGCAGCTCAGTGGCGGTGTAGCACACACCAGGCCCAACTAAGTGATTGAACATGTCTGTCATCAAAGCCTGTTCTGATTCGAATACACCACTTTGTGTCCCTATCAAAGTCTGTATCACACTGTCATTGGAATATTCTATAGCTGTTAAAAATTATAATCCCTGCTGGGCACAGTGGTGCACACCTGTTATCCCAGCAACTCGGGAGGCTGAGGTGGGAGGATTGCAAGTTCAGGGCCAGCCTCAGCAACTTAGTGAGACCCAAACTTGGAGAGACCGTGACTCAAAATAAAAAATAACAAGGTCTGGGGATGTGGTTTGGTGGCAAATGGTCCCTGGGTTGGGGTCAATCTCCAGTACCAAATTAAAAATGATGATGTTGAGTTGGGCGTGGTGGTACCTGCCTGTCATCCCAGCTACGAGTCTCAGGGAGGAGGATCACAAACCGGAGATGAGCCTGAGATATTTAGTGAGACCCTGTCTCAAAATAAAAAGGTCTGGGAATGTAGCTCATTGGTAGAGTGTGTAACTCGCATGAGTCCAATCCCTATGCCACCAAAAAATAATAGTAATAATGTTGAAATCTGCTGAAGACAGAGCTACTGATAGGGACAGGCACTGATAGAGTCAGCTTCGGGACAAGCATTCTGTGTTTAGGGACCTCAGCACAGTTCTCACGGCTCCGTGGGCCCCCATCCCCACGCCAACTATTATCAGAACACACGCTATTACTAGAGGCATGTCGGACACTTAATATGTGCCTGTTGCTCCAGGCAAGGTGTCTGTAATCCCAGCAACTCTGGAGGCCAAGCAGGAGGATCTCAAGTTAGAGGCCAGCCTAAGCGATTTAGCAAGATCCTGTCTGTCTCAAAATAAAAAATAAAAGGGTGGAGGATATAACTGCATGGTAGAGCATCTCTGGGTTCAATGCCTAGTACAAAATAAATAAATAAATAAGTGCCTGTTGTATGCATTGGCTGTGCCATCTCATTCAACCTCTGTCCTCAAGTTGAGCATCATAATTGCTTTCACACCGAAGAGGTGGAAACTGGGCTAAATTGCTGGCCCAAGCGAAACAGCTGGTAAGCAACGGCAGGGGTGGGATTTGAACCCAAGTCTGCTCTCAGTCCCGATGGTGCACTCCACGGCCCCGTCCTTCTCCCATCACCCTTAGCCACCACGTGGGCAGTGAACTGTGTCCAGCATTCCCTCCAGATCCTCGCCTGTCGGCTTGTCCTTTGAGCTCAGACTGTGAATATGACCTTAACCTAGAGAAATGGTTCTCCCCACGGAGTTGGTGGTCCTGGCTCGGATGAGGTGCCCACTTCCTACTGCCTGAGGGTGCAGGAACAGCCAGCTCCAGCCCCGGGTGAATGCCAAGGGGTGCCCCAGGCCACGATCGCTTCCCCACAAAGTCAGACTGTGCGCTCCCAGCCATAAGATGTGGTTTGAATAAGAACAGTTCTTCTCCATCCTTGAACACTCCCAGTTCATGTAGTG